GAGCAGGCTGTTTGAATAGAGGAAACCTAATAAATTCAAGCTCACATCTTACTTCAATACTGGGCCTGTGAGTGGGATTTCTCTGACCCGCTGGATTTTCACGTGAGCACAACTTGCGAGTTCTATATAGGGAGTAGAAGTCACAGTTTATGTAGCCATGGTCACCTGGCTGAATTATGGAGACGTTATGGCAGAAGGCAATCATAAAAGCTGCTATTTTAGTTCCCAATTCTCAGAAGATATATGAATGGGATTAATTTTATGCATTCTTGAATATGTAAGTGATTTCAGCCTAATGGCAGCAAATTATCAATAATAGCAGAGTTGTTCTTTTCCGTACAACATGCATCTTCCTCACCCTTACCAATGCATGAAATTGTTTCTCTTTCAGTTACTTGCGTGAGTTTGGAATTAGATAGCCTGAGTCTTCTGTTCTAGAAGCATGTGGTTTCTCCAACTCATTCCATATCTTTCTTTAAATGGAACAGTGTGATCTCATTGGGCCCCCTGCAGGTTTAAGTATTATTTTCCAAGTATTACTGCCTCAATTCTAGGTAGAAAAAGGGTCTAAAAATTAACTACCCTGTAAACATGGAGTAGTTTTCATGCGTCAGAGTTGATAAGAGATAGTGATCAATCATAAAAATAAAGTGTCTTAGAAGTCTGCTGCTGGAGTGCTGCAGTGTAAATGTAGCTGTATTCCTGTAATGGCAGCAAATCCTTCAAGAGACTACCCGAAAGCATTTTACTATTTATGCCATTGGCGTTACGGCTGAGTAAAAGGAAAAATTAGTCCAGTTAAAAAATATTCAATACAAGTAATATGTCATTACTTTAGTGATTATGTTCTTAACACTTAGCATCCAGGACTCCAATAGCAAGCACAAGGTCATCAGTTAAAATCACTTTCTTAGCCCAAGTGACTGTATTTAACTGGTGGTAAACATTGAAGCAATTTCTAAAACAGTCACGCCATTAAAGCATTTCCATCAATAGAGCAAATGTGTGATATTTAAAGGGGTTTTTAATTCTTCAAAGCTCTTGCCATTCAGTGACAAAGGCTGCATGAGTCACCCATATAGAGACACAGGCGGAATTGTTCATCCATAAGCAGCACCACTTGCTGCAAAAGCAGCTGTTTGTTCATCTCTTGCCAGAAGTAAAGTTGACGCAGACCAGCTGGGCAGGATGCCCTCCTTTGCTTTGAAAAACAGGGAGAGAAAAATGGAAGGATAAAAATCTAAGACCAAGCAAATTGTTATAAATTTTCGGATTTTTGTATACGCTATAATTTATCTGGACTCCATTGTTGAAGTAAAATCAGCTCTTACTTCAGGAGAAGGGATAAGAAGAGAGCAGTCCAGGAGAGAAACCCAGAACTTCCTTTATCAAAGACAGGAGAGAATTAAGTAAGACATGGAGGCCAAGCCTCCAGTTAAGCCAATACCTGTCAGGAAATTCAAAAAGACAGCAAGCTGGTAGTAAAATAAACTCTGTATGTCACTTTTTAAAGTGAAAAGTAGCTATGTTGCAGAGCTGAAAATCTTTTACTAAGTTAATCCCTGGTGCAATTCTCCATTCCCTTTCTTCCTCCATTTTTTTTTAGGAATTTGATGATTACAGCATGAATTTTAAGCAACTCTTGCAGGATAATTGAGTTTACTGAGTGACAAACAAGGATTGCTAAATTCAATCCAGCCCATCATGTAAGAGTACAGATGTTCCAAAGATGGCCAGCTGGAGAAAACTGACCTGTAGAGAGAATTCTGGGCGAAGACACCTTAGAATGCCAAAAATGGGCCTATGGATATCAAAACCAGAGTTTTAAAGGGAAAAAAAAATCACAGAATAGGCCAATGAATAAATTAGCTTTAGCCTTTAGCTTAATTCATACCTGTTGTTAAAAGGACCTTAAAAAAAAACAACAACAACAAAAAGTACTTCACTCAAAATCAATGGTAGTAAACTACTTGAATCCTAAAATATAGCCGGAAGTAGAGAATAAAATATCTGGAACTGGGCAGGTTTCAGATAGCTAAACTGCACACAACATACTCTAGAAATTCCTTCTCACTGACAAAAATGCATAATTATTTTTAATGTGCAGGGCCACATACAGTCCATAAATAAGTAAATATCCACATACGTGGACAAAGGGTTCAGACAGAAGTGCAGCTCCCAGGTCCAAAAAGGACTATTTTTTTTTTTTTTTTTTTTTTTTTACAGAAAGCGCCATGATTTAAACTGATCCTTCTGACCCAACAGATGTTAGCTGTTGCATTGGGAGGGTGGGACATCAAGCTCCAATTTGGAGCTGATCCAGGGCGAGAGATTGCAGCTCCATCTCCCCCTCCCAGACCCTGTGCTGACTCAGGATGAGAGGAGAAAAAGGCAAGGAAGGGAGATCTGTTCTGGGATTTCCCCAGCTACACTAGAGATGGTGGTGATGGGGATCCAATCCACCTGCCCCCCTCAGCACAGCTGGGGAAATCCCAGAATGGACCTCTCTCCCCTGCCTTCTCCCCCACTCATCCTGAGACAGCACCAGCGGCTGAGCTGTGCTGCAGAAGCCCATCACTGGACCAGACCGAAATTAATGAAACCACTCTTCTTTGGAGTGTCTTCATTTGAATGCTCATACAATGAGGGTTAATTTGTCACTCAGTGCCCTGCAGCTGTGCTCTTCTGTTAGGGCATGGCTTTAGAGTGCTTTCAAAGGGCTGATCATATGACAAATGTAATTTCTGTCTGTGCCCAAAGTGGAAAACAGGGCATGAGAACTTTCAGCAGGAATGGTGCTGATGGACAGTAGCAATGGGCTAAGAATTTGGACACAGAAGCGAGTGTACTTATAATTTCAGCAACTACAGTCAAGCATAGAGGGAACAATATGCAGACCTCTAAGGGTATGTCCCCACCACAATACTGTTTAAAGATATTCTAACTACTTCAGGTACCAAAAGGGTACATGAGCACAGCTATGTTATCATAGCATCCTGTTCCAACCTAATCACCCTGCCTCTGCTGTTAGAACTGGTAATATCCTGAGTATGTCATGGCAACTGAGATTCCTGGGATCCATGGATAAGACCCATGGCTTCTTAGGACTGTGGCTTCCAAATTGTGGTCCATAGACCTCTGGGGTCCACAGACTATGTCCAAGGCAGGGCTGGGCAATTATTTGAGTCTGTAAGCCACATAGGGAGTTTTGGTGAGCTGTTGTGGGCTGGGTCAGCATTTCTCACCCCCCACCCCAGCTCACCAAACCTCCCTATGTAGGATGGGGCTGTGGGCAGGCAGCTGGTGTGGGTGCGGGTGGCAGCTACAGGAGGTTCAGCCTCTGGCCCACACTTCTACCCCAAGGAGGGGCTCAGGCAGATGCCCCAATCCCCAGGGAGAAGCTACTAGCTGAGTCAACAGCTGATGCCAGCACCTGCCCAGTGCTGCTTCTGATATGTGGGCAGGGTGCTGATGTAAGCTGTGGGGTCATCCTGTAGTTGTGGCATGGCTGTGGGGGAGGGGAAGACAAAGAGATGGAGCAAGGCAGTCCTGCCCACGATGACTGGCTGTGGCCAGTGCTGGGCACTGGACAAGAGCTGGACCTGGCAGCAGGCATGCTCACAACTTCCAGGACCCTTCTGGCTGTGGCTGATTGACGCCTGCAGCAGGGCTGCCCTGAGGCTGTCTCCACTGCTGACACCACACACCACATCCGGGCCCCCCCAAGCCTGTGGGGTGGTGGTGGCAGCAGCGGGGATGAGCCACAGATGTCCAAGGGGTCTGTGAAAGATGATCAATCAAAAGTATGTGAATACCCACACTTACAATTCAAAGGGGTCCGCACCTCCATTCAAGATTTTTTAGGGGTCCACAAATGAGAAAAGGTTGAAACCATTGCCCTAATAAAATTCTGTTCCACGCTGTCCCCACCACTGGGATACAGATTAAATATGTCCTCAGAAATACTTCCCTCTGTGGGGCATTATAGGTCTTAACCCAGCAAGACAAATAGAAGGGATGAAAGCTGTATTTGTTAAAAGATTCAGTTCCTTAGTCACTTCAGACTGCAGAGTGAAAAAGCTCCTACTCCAGTGTGCTATTTCAAGATGACCTTCCAGGGAAAAAAACCCAGGAAAGTCAAAAACATTAATTTTCATATTCTTTGGACTTGAAATAAATTTCTTAAACAATTTTAAATCTTAAAGATATCTTTTTTCTAACAGGACATCACCATGTCCTAGCTCCCGTTAGCTTTTGGTTTTGAACTCTTCCTTTATGTTTCTAGCTTGATTTGTGTATGTATTTTGCACATGGCTCTAGCAACAAGTGCTATGCCTTTGGGCTGTGGTTAATCATTCCATTTAAGATAGATAATTAATACTGAGTTGGAGCTGCATTAATACTAAGCAGCTGAATTGAGTAATGTTCCATATCACTTGGTAAATTTAGTAAAAAATAATGTGTTTTGAATGCAGTAGTCAGTTGTTAACTGTACGTAACTAAATACCCAACTACCTACTGAAACCACTTGCTGTGCATTTTGAGGGAAAAGTTATGCTGCTTTTTATTTTATCCTCTAATGAAATTTTATCTTATTGTCTAAAAATATATTTTTACCTAAAAAATAAAAATAAATTACATGACAAAGAAAAGCTACAATGCTCATCTGAGTATATTTCAAAGGATGATGTCAGTGATAGAATGCAGAAAGAGGAAGTCAGTGGTGATCCACCCAAAGCAGGATCCATAAGACATACATGAAAAAAATAGAATAAAACAATGCATTACATCAAGGAGCCTAGGTTAATAGCATCCTGTGCAGATTTCTTGGATTCCATTGTTTTGAGCAAGCATTGTATCCTAAATATTCTGGAAACCCATAAATCAACAGAGCAAAGTACTTTTTCGTTCTCCTTTTCTGCGGAGTAAACACAAGACCTACGGTCCAGTTTACACATTACATTGCTGTCATCCTTTTAAAGAGAAAAGGTTTACAATACCTTATTGTCTCCTTGCACTTCTCCCAGCCTTTGCTGCAGTTCTTTTATTTCTTCTCCCAGATGCTTATTTCGATCCCGAGAATCACTCAATAGTTGGGCAAGATTAGCCTAGAAAAGTTAGTGCATTATCAGACAAGTATACTTGTGGTGGCTGAGAAGGAACCTTGAGTTTATTGGCCACCTTTCAACAGTATTTAGTTTTATTGCTGTTGATATCTAGACCAAATGGTGTGTCATTAGAGACAACAAAAGCCATCAGGGTTCCTTTATCTAAATTACTGCAAAATAAACATAGCATGTGTGGATACAAAGCTCTAGAATAGTACTTAAAAAACAAACAAAGCCAGATGGGAATACCCACACTCTTTCTGATACCACGGAGAATAAAATACAACTTGACAATATTCTGTATGAAGTAGCCAAACTGTTTTAAACATGTATAATTAGGCAAAAGCCTAGCTGGAATACATTATATGAAATAGGCTGGATATTTTCTTCTACTGATATTGTATAGAATTTTCCTACCAAATTAATTAAAAAGACCAAAACTTCTTCCTTAACCCAAGCCCCCAACACAATTATTGTGGAAGCATTTTTATAAAACTGGGGTAAAGTTTTAAAAACTGTAAGCCTGTCCTGACATTTTCTGGTTACTGAAAAAATTATATTAACTGCAAAACAATATTCTTTCAACAGGAATACCACACACGTACACTCCTCTAAAACATAATGTCCTATAACAAAAGTTATTCCTGACATCTTGAAAAGTCTGTATTGTTTACCAGACTGATTTCTAATTTGTTTATTGCATTTTACCAGCTTAATCAATAACCAAAATACAGTATAATCTCTTTCTTTGTCAGCCATAAAAAGTAGGGCAGCTGGAAAATGAGCAGTTAGACTTTATTTATGTTTTTTTTCTGTTGGTGTGCCTCACAAAACATGTATTAGGGCTCAGTGCTCGGAGGTTAGGGCAGGGGAAAACACCCAGGAGTTTTCCTTTTGTCACTACCCAATCTGTAAGTTTTGTACTTTGGATGCCCTATATGCAGCATGTTGATGTTGCTCGGGGAAGTACAGTCAACTGTTACAAAACAGAGAGAGCAAGAGAGAAAGAGTGAGAGAGATTATTTCTATATATATAAATGAAAAAGCATTTCTAGCTTTTCCAAGTAGGATTTGGTGAAGAACTGCAAGTCTCAGTTAGTGATGTGAATAGTTAGATGTTTAAACATTCAACTGTTCACATACCTTACTGGTTATCAGTTAGCACAGGGCAGGGAGTAATCTGGCATTGAAGGGGCAGGTGGGGAAGGGAAGTGGCACTATGCCCCTGAAAGTGATAGGGCAGGGAAGAGGGAGGAGCAAGGAGGAGAGGGGTGTGGGGGCCACAAGAAATACCTGGTATGGCAGGGAAGCAGTGGGAGAGCGACAAGGGGCCTGATACTTCTTGTGGCAGCACAGCTCTGGCCCCTTCCCTATCATCCACCCTGAGATGCGTGTGCACCCGCCACCGACAATGAGCCGGGCTGGGGCTCCACAGGCCCTCGCACAGCTGCATGTTCCTGACTGCCTGCCATAACCAGCCCAGGCTCTAAGCAGGCCCCTACCACCCACCATAAAGCCCAGGCTGCTTGCAGCAGGTGGCAGGGAGGCCACAAGCAACAGCAACAGGGTCCATGGAACCCCAGACTAGTTCATTGCCAGCAGCAGGTGCATGTACATTTTGGGGCAAACAGCAGTTAAGGGGCCAGGGCTGCACTACTACAAGAAGGTTAACCGTTTAACCAAGTGGGAGCAAGTTTTAAAGTGAGACCCAAAAATGCACTTAGGGACCTAAAGTGCTACTTAGGCTTAATTTAGTAAACAACCACTCATTCTTTCCCTCCTTTCCCCACTACCACCCTAGCCCCATAACTTACCTGTATGAATTAAAACAGACAAAAAAAATATGCCCCCAGGCATCATGGAACAATAGGATGATTGACTGCAAATCATTTTACTGGCACATCATGTCTACACACTTGGTTGCATCTTTTTCAAGAGAACTACTCTCTTGTATACTCATGCCCTCAAATGTCTGAAGGATTAAATTGCAAATAATCTGAATGGGCACTAGGTAAAAGGATCAAAATCACCTACATAACTTAAGTACAACTTTTTAATTTATTTTATTTTAAATGTATTTTATTTATTTATTTTAAAAGAGGACTAAAAGAGGACTTTAGATACCCACAGTCCCTCATTATATGGCCTCAAACATGAAAATCTGACCAATATAGACAGGAAGATCCAGCGAGCACTGAAGCTTCTTTAACATATGCTTGATCGACAAAATTATCTTTTTTATTTGCTAAAAAATGAGTAACAACCATCAATACACTGAACAGATTAGGCAGGCAGCTTCAGGACTCATTCAATCATTGGTGTAACTGAAAGGTGTGTGGGGGGAAGAGGGGTGCAAAAATAACTGCCACTACCATGGGCTGTGCAGCAGCCAGTTCTGCCTGCCCATGCGCTGCCTGCACCCAGGGCACAGAGCTGCCCTGCTACACCTCTGCATTCAATAAATGGTTCTGAGACACTGTTTTTAAGGGAAGTTAATATTTCAGGTTATTAGCAGGACATTTACATCTGAAACAGTGCAGCTGAGGGTGAGGTTCATCTAGAATCAAATAACTTGAAAAGTTTTAATTCAATTTTGTAAAAGAAACTAATTCATGTTTGATAAAGGCTGGTTAAACAACAGTATGCTACTTCCAATGAATGCCATTTGTACAAGCCTCCTTGAAATACTTCTGTTTGTGAAATCCCCTTTCTATAATGAATTAAAACAAGTCTAAAGGCTGCACTGAATTCTTCCAAACATCCCACTCATCAGCATTTACAGTGGTATCACTGGGATTCTAACAACTTGGAACCAAAATCCAGCTCTTATTGAACACATACAGGAACATTCACACACCCATACTAAGTCTCCATTTTCAGGATTTGTCTGATAAAACTGTTCCTTTGAAATTGCAATTTCCTGATCAATTTTATTTCCCAGCTCACACAAATGACTTAACTTGACAATAATCTTTAGACTCACAACTGGGAGTTTGGGAGAAATACTAAATAAAGCATTTAGACCCAAAAATAAAGACAGTCTCTTTAAACATGCTAGGTACATTTCAGTGAGTTGAATACAGGCTTGCTCCTAAATGTAAAGCTTCTTTTATACTCGTTGAACTAAAGTAAGTGAGCTATGTCACTGATGAATAATTGCTAAAGAACACATTTTCTAAGCTTACAGGCTCCACACAACATATATTTTAGATTGTCCCAGATTTTAATGGTTTTGGCAAGATATCATTAAGGCTCTCAGTTAAACTTGGAAGAGGAGAGAATTATGGAACTCTAGGTGCTCTGGTAGGCTTAATCGGAGCCAAGAAATCACCATCCTTTAAACTATGCATGGCCAGATTCTTTGGCACGTGCTAGAAAACGTATTACCAGATGGTTGAAAGATGATAAACCCCTAACAATGGAGGACTGGGAACGTGAACTTACAAGAATCTCTTTTTAAAGCAAAAGAAGAAATCTATACAGGGCTCATTTTTCTACCTGGCAACCATTTTCCATATTTGTGGAACAGGCAAAACATACATTGAAGCCAACTGCATTTAAGGACAATGAAACTCACTGAACTTGCCTAATTATTACTGAATATCTCTTTGAAAGTTATTAAAAAGTCAACTATTCTTTTCTTACTTTCTTTGAAGGATGCTTTTAATTCTAAAGAAGCCTTCAGGATGGATATCATAAATGTTAGTGATCTATTTACACCTCCTTCTATTCTTTGATTCTCTACCAAATTATTTAACTCTCACTTGTCTTGATATACTTTTGGGTACTTTTGGGAGGGAAAAAAGAAAAAAAACCTAAAACTTTAGAGTACAGTGGCCCTTTACTACTGCAAGAACACTTGTCCACTACAAAATGGTGAAAAATATTAAAAAAAAACAACAACAACAAAACCTATTCCAAATCTCAAATTTCAGCTATTTTTTTAATACAAGAGACTGGATAATACTAGTCTCCAACACCCAGTCAACTGCCAAACTTTAAGAAATCTTTCTGAAGTTCTGTCAGTCTCTGCTGTCATCAACATATTCTTGGGCTCTCGGAAAAGGCAGAAGACATAATTTAGGTACCTCACTCCTCTAGCAGAAGTTCAATTAAAGGCATAATGGGATCTGATCTGCCATCCCAACAATCATACCTCCTGCCAGGCTACGTGGCAGAAGGCATGACTGTGGGATCAAGGATAAGATCCCAATTGTGCCCTATTGCCAGTGCAGGGGGTGCCTGGGATCATGATCCTGGGCTATCCTTGCACCAGCAAGTAGCAAGACAGGGGCCCGGTGCTCCTGTGGCTTGGAGCACCTGTTTGCTGATGGTGCTCTCAGCCACTAAAATGCATCAGAGCCCTTGGCCAAACCATGGCTTATTAGCTGAATGGTTCTTCCAGTCAGGGGAGTACATGGCAGCCAAGAGCCAATCAGCTGACTAGAACTCCCAGCCCTGGAAGTGCACCAAAATCTTGAAAGCGCCTGCGTGCTCCTGAGGCTGGGAGATGCCACATATTCTATTTAAGGCAGGATGGAGGACGCCAGCCACAAAGTTATTACATGTATTTTGTGTAATAACTTTGTGGCTTATTCCCTGCTTTATCGTGTCATTAACTGCTTGAACACGTGGCCAGGTTACTACTTAAGATGTGATTAACTGGTCGTGTAAGTCTGCCAGGGGCCTCAGCCCTAAGAAATGGCTAAACTGGCTAACTACAACCTCGACCTCACCACAATCCGCTGGCTGGGGAATTGGCTCCGCGGTAGGACCCAGAGGGTGGTAGTCGATGGAAGCCAATCGTCTTGGTGCATGGTCACCAGTGGGGTCCCTCAAGGCTCTGTCCTAGGGCCTATACTATTTAACATCTTCATCAATGATGGGGACATCGGTGTCAGAAGCGGACTGGCCAAGTCTGCCGATGACACCAAACTCTGGGGTAAAGCATCCACACCTGAAGACAGGAGGGTGATCCAGGCAGATCTTGACAGGCTCAT